AAAAAAAAAAAAAAAAAAAAAAATAGTAATAAAATAAAATAAAATAAAAAATGACTCGTCTCATGCCAAATCATGCAGGCCAAATGATCAATTTCTCACCAATCCCCTTAGCAATTGCCCTGTTTTTCTCTGTTTCGCTACTCGTCGCTCTATGCGCCAAACACGCGAGAAAATACTCTACAAAGGCAACAACAAGCGACGATCAAGATCGACCGAACAAGCAGCATCTACGGTCCGCGAAGCAGCTGATCACAGCCGTAGGCCACAAGGCAATGGCTCCTCTGGTTTGTGGCAAGAAATCGGGACTCGAATTTAATACCAAAATGCTCGGGATAGGTCGGGAGGAAAACGGGTTGTGGCAAAAAGCGATATTGATGGGAGAAAAATGCCAGCCGCCGGAATTTTCGGGCGTGATATATTACGATTACGACGGGAATAGGATTGCGGAGATGCCGAAATCGCCTAGAGCAGGTGCAGTGAGCCCGTTAAAGGAGTTCACGTTTCCTGTGGAGAAGATGGACAAGTCCATGTATTGATGATTGAAGGGTATCTAAGCTTTTTTATTTCTTTCTTTCTCTCTTACTTTGTTTTTGTTTTTTGTTTTTGGGTGATGATCAAGTGGTTGTGGTGAAGTTTTTGGCTTGTTTAGTGGCAAAAATTAATATATTATTTTACATAAATAAAGAAATCACCTTAACATATTGAAAACTAATTGTCAATATATTATTTTACAGAGACCAAATATTAAATTTCACATATTGAAAACTAATTGTCAATATATTGAAATCACCTAAGGGGATGGGATGGGATGTTTAGTGGCAAAAATTAATATATTATTTTACATAAATAAAGAAATCACCTTAACATATTCAAGAGTCAAATATTAAATTTCACATAATACAAATTGTCAAAAATCCACCCCCTAACTCACACAGGCTCGTGTGACATGTCACACGAGCTGCACGACACGTGTGAGAACACAGAGACCACGGTTTGACTCCCTTCTCGCCCGACATCACTCGTTTCGGACATCACACGGGACGTGTGACTCCCAAACGATTGAAAACTCCATTTCAGTGCGGCTCGTTGCTCCTGGGCGAGGTGGTCTTCCGACGACTTAGGCGGCTCCCAATTGTCGGACATGGATGTTTTTTGACCAGCTCTCGCACAACCATAGTGGACAACAACTTCACGGCTTTTCTGGCAAAAATGGTGAATTTGGTGCGGTGGTCGAGCTAGGGATGAAAAAAATCGAGCCGAAACCAAAAAATAAAGCCGAACCGATGTATTTGTTGTGGCTAAGTTCGGTTTTTCAAGAGTTCGGTTTGCAGTGCGGTTAGAATTTTGAAAAATCGCAAAAATTTCAGTGCGGTTCGATTTTTTGTTCAAAGGGTGCGGTTTTAACCGAACCACACTGAATATGTTGACATGCCAATTTATTTGTATTGTACATTGTAAGGCGTGATGCAGCCCGAAGAAATGCTTTTGGTTTTGGGCCGTTGGTTTGGGCCGATTATTTATTTACAATAAGAATTAACAATAACAATTATTGTTAGTCATGGCCCAAAGTAATAAGTAATAAGTAAAACTTGATATTTAATTTACAGTTAAAAGTAAAACTTAAAATCTTATTTCTTGTCATAGTTTTTCATTTACTTTCACTTTCAATTCTCAAGCTCAACTCACGCAACCCGTCATCTCACTCAGTCTCTCGTCTCTCACTCTTATGGCGGTCTCAGCCCGTCTGCCTACCGCAGGCTGCTCACGTCCGGCGCTCGCTTGTCGTCACTGGCCTCAATTTAGAAACCCTTAATGGCTACCTAAGGGGGGCAACAACTTGAGGAATAAAGATGACCTGACCTTTATCAAAAGGGTTCAAGTGACTCGACCTTCTAGAGGATATAATACGACTCAACCTCTAGAAACCGACAACAAATTAATTTATTCAATAGCTCGAGGTAGACCATCGGATCATGGATCAAGTGGTCTCAAAAAGAGCCACGACCTAATGACATCAGATAACAATGATAAGAAGGAATCTTTAAGGGATAAGAAGAAATCTGAAGGTGACTAGAAGATGACTAAGAGATGGTTAGGATATGGATAAGTATCAAATCCGGGCAGGCTGCCTGCGGGCACCCAGATAGAGCATTTTGGGCAGGTATTCTCATATAAAAGGGACTGAGGTATCACCAAAACCCAATTCTACACTCTCCATACATTATATACTAATCTTATTTACAGAGCACCACCATCATCTTCCCAGCATCGACTTAGGCTATGTTTGGTAAAACTAGCTATTAAGCTAGCTTACAGCTTATCAGTAATTTTCGAGCTTATAGCTTATAGCTTATGACTCATAGCTGAAAAACTAGTTTATATGATAAAAATGTTTGGTAAAATTAGCTAATAAACTAGCTGAAACAAAAATTTTAACGGGTTTATTTGAAAAACTACCCATAGAAGCTTCTGATATAAGCTCGAGTTTTTTAAATACAAGAAGCTTATAAGCTAACCAAATAAGTTATAAGCTAGCTTATTTGTCTACCAAATATTGCCTTAAGCATCGAGACTCTTCCTTTTTGCAGGTACACATGCGGCGGTTCAGGCGAATCGGAGCACAACTTCAACCGGTCCTATGCAGATCTGGGTAGTGACCCTTCAACACCCTACCATCAAATAATAATTTTATCAATATAATTTTTTAATTCTCCGATACTGTAATCAATACAAACGATATATTCAACAAAGATTTGCCTTTCTATAGCATAAGTTGACTACATTATAGTAAATTTTATTAAAATTTAAATTATAAATTAAGCTAATATGATGCATACATAGTTATTCGAATTATCTTATTATATATTTTAAGTGTTTCTGATTGATGAACACGATTAATTAAATTAATATTTACAACCATGAAATGATGATATAACTAATCAAATCAAACTTCATAATTACATTGAATAATTTTTTTAAGTGTGCCACCAAATCATTATGGATCTTATTGAAAATATTGAACCAATTTTTATAAGTGTGCCACCTAATCATTATGGATATTTTTACCCACAAAAACAAAATTATAAGTTAACTGGACAAAAACAAAACAAAAAAAATATTGTGGAAATTAATCAAAAGCACATATTCTCTGAATACGTTTTTTCATGTAATTTACCTTGAAAAACGTATTGTGAGAATACGTTTTTCAATGAAATTTATAAAGAAATCGTATTCTGAGAATACTAGTTTTTGATTTTGGTCAAGATTTTTTCTTTTACTTTTATTTCTGTCCACTTATTTTTTTATTTTTTATTTTTATATAAATTACCCAATCATTATGGATCTTATTGAAAATATATGTGATAAATCAATAATGCGATTTAAGCCACTTTATAATTAATGAATATATTTCAATTAAGTAAATAAAAATGATTAATATATAAATTATAGATATTATAGATGATGGGGGCGACTAACACTAGACAAGGTTAGGTTGTATTTATGCAACAATTGGAATTTGCAAAACCACAACTAGTGTATCATCTCAAGTTTGCCCTAATTTCACCCATATTACCCACACCTTCACTGCAAAAAAGTGTCAAAATTCTCTGTATAATACTCCAACTGTTACTTTCTCCGGCGAACTTCCGATTTCCATCCTCTCTCTCTATATATACTTAAATACGTACATTTGTGTGTGTTTGAGATACATCTATTTGGTTTTCTTTTCTTTCGATAAATAAGTGGATAAATTAGTTTGGGAGGTGCACAAAGATGGCTGCGGAGAGTTCGACGGCAGCGGCGAGCGGCAGATCTGGCGGCGGAGGACCATCGGCGGATTCGTACATTGGCAGCTTGATAAGTTTGACTTCGAAGAGCGAGATCAGGTACGAAGGGATACTCTACAACATCAACACCGAAGAGTCTAGCATTGGCTTACGCAACGGTTAGTGGATTTGAGGAAAAGAGGCATTTTTTTCTTATCGTTGCGAATTTTTTATTGAATTTGATATTTATGTATGGATTAGGATTTGTTTTATTTTTAATATTCACGTCTAGCTCGCAATTTTGTTAATCTATTTCAGTCGAGCTGTGTCCTTGTTGTGTGAGTCAGATTGTTCTGCTTCTGTCCTTCTGTTGATTAGTTGAGAATCTGTTCATTGGGCCTGTTGATTGAAGTAGTTATCTGGAAATGTTTGTGAGCAAACACAGTTTATTCCTTAAAACTGTTTTATTATGTTGTGTTGACTGTTATGAAAGACAATTTCGTTTGATTATTGCATTTGGGGTAGTCCTTAAAATTTTTATGGTTGTAAGAGTTTTGGGATTGCTTGCTCAGAGCTTGAGAAATTGCACTTTTTTGTATCTGCAATTCTGCATATCAGCTAAGTAGAACAAGGAGTACGAAATCATACTGTATCAAAAATTCTGGGGGGGAAAAAGCTTACTTTTGAACACGTGGTATCCTCATGCTCTGGACAGTATTAATTAAGTGCTGCCATCTTACATTGGGATTTAATGTATTATAAGCTTGCTCTTATAGGATGCTTTGAAGAAACTTGTGAGCAGGCAAAACACCCGATAATGAACTTGTAGTTCCTGAATCTATCAACCCTCATGGTCATACAATGATTCATGTTGTAATAGTTTGAGTTGGTTTGATTTCTACGCATATGAATAAGCTGTAAATTTCAATTTGGAAGCCTACAGATATGGCCTTTATATGGTCATAATTTCATTGAAGCTCTATCTGAAATTCTGAACGAATGTTCTTATTCATAGGGCTTATCACATTTTACGTGTCTATCATATATTATAAACTATGGGTAAATAATAATTCATGGCGCTAAAATGGTTCATTTATGGCAGTGAGGTCGTTTGGTACCGAAGGTCGGAAGAAAGATGGTCCGCAGGTCCCTCCTAGCGACAAAGTTTATGAATACATACTATTCAGAGGAAGTGATATCAAGGTGCATATCAAATGTCCATACATTGTCTTGATTTCAGTTTTTGCTCTCCCTGCAGAAGTGGGCAAATGTTGTAGTGGTTTTTATTTTCTGCTTGGGATATCTTTCCACTTAGTAGATGATATTTGGTCTGTTATTTATACAGAGTAAGAAATTTCCATGAAGAAGATGTGCTTGATATTAATGCTGTTACTCGTACACATCAGAATGCTTAAATTGTAATCTATAATTGTACATTCAACAGGATTTACAAGTCAAAGCTTCTCCACCAGTTCAGAGCACTCCACCTATAAACAACGACCCCGCAATTATACAGGCAAGTATCTGAACAACTACTCCCTCCTATTTTTATTATTTGTCACTCTGGCTTAATTGATCATTGATTAAATAAATGTCGTTTTGGCTATTTTGTTCATATTTTTCCATTTTTAACCCTCCATCTAATACACAGTGTCTCTTCATATCCCATCTCCATCGTTTCCCATAACATCCATTAAATAGGGTTAATATTGGCAAGAAAAAAAAAATTCTTAATTAGCGTGTTGCTTCTCAAAACGACAAATATAAAAATAGGAGGGAGTACATTGGTAACACGATCCATGACGGATCAATTTGCGGCTAACCAATTAAAATTCTGATACAGTCTCACTATCCGCGTCCATCAGCTCCAACTGCAAGCATGCCTGTGGCAGCCCCAAACGGCTCATTGCCAGACCATGGCTCCCATTCTTCACAAATGGGACTGCCTGGATCGACTTTCCAAAACAACATGCATTTATATCAACCTGGTGGGAACTTGAACTCATGGGGACCTTCTTCGGCAAACCCAAATAGCAGTGGCCTGGCCATGCCAATGTACTGGCAGGGATTCTGTGGCACACCTAACGGCTTGTCTATTCCTCCTACGGGGCATCAGATGCAATTTTCGGGCATTAATTCATCTCTGCCAACAGCTTCATCTACTCTGCCAGATTACCAGTCATCCTTGGTTCCGAACAGCACAAGTTCCTCTACTTTGACTCCTAATACTTCGTCTACTTCCCCAATCTTGTCTTTGAACGTGCCCCCTCTGCAGCCCATCCCGCTTGTATCTGGAACAATGAGTAATCCACTTCAAAACAAAGCTCCCCCAGTTTCTGTCTCTGGTATCCTGTCATCAAGTCCGAACTCTAGCCTTCCATCTTTAGCTCAACTTCCGACTTCAATTCCTTCTGATGCCGGACTACATTCGGTTGCTAGCAAACCTAATCCAATACCTGGTCCAGCAGCTGCGGGTCAGCAAAGTATATCAGAGCCCGGACGGCCATCTTTTTCTCGGCCATCTGGCTCTGTTCTTACAGAAAAGCATACGCCCCCACTTGTAACTCCTGGTCAACTTCTGCAATCTGCACCACCTACTATCTCTGCACCTCAAACGTCACAGACATTGCAGAAGGATGTCGAGGTGGTCCAAGTGTCATCTAAACCGCCGCCAGAGGCGTCAGTGCCAGCAACATTGGAAGCTCAGCCACCAATATTACCTTTACCGGCAAACGCAAGAGCTCAAAAGGTTATTTTTTCTCCTTGTTTGTTTATATACACAGCTATGGTCAAAGTTATTTACATTTCTTTCATGAGTGCTAAAGTTTGACCATTTTGATTGTATGCCAAGAAAAATCTATACGTTTCTTTCTGATCTAAGCTAAAGTTGAATAGGATTTGTTTTTTTTATTCTCATTATACTATGCTGTATAGAATGTTACAAGACCAACATTATTACTTCGAAAGATTTTAGACGTCACAGCACCAATGGAGTATAAACCTGATTTGACAGACTTCAGTATAAACTTGGTTACTTTGATTTTCTAATGTAGTTGTTTTCACATTTTTTTTATTGAGAATCTCATTATTAAGTTCTGTAGATTTAATGACACACTTCAGCTGAAATACATTTTAATGGTGAATTTCGATGAACTTGATTGACAAATATTTACCAATTTATCGTAACCAGTCAATCTCAGGACTGGGATTTATTGAAGATATCGGTTATCCTTATTTCTCATTTATCATGTTACCTGTCTATGTGTTTTATCACATACGAGGAGGGTATGAGAGCAGCACAGTAGTACTTCGGAAACAATTGTTGGGTTAGCTTGTAGATGACAGTTTACTTGTAAACATGGCTTGCCGATGTTATTATATATTTAATTGTAATATGTGGACTAATGCGGCAATTTATTGTTCGTTTAGCATAATGGAGGTGGTTATCACATGCGGAACAATTACAGAGGGCGTGGCGGAAGAGGATCTGGGGTAAGAATTATTTAAAAGTTCCTTGCAATTTCCTGGAATTGATTTATTTTGTTTTAATTTTTGAGAACCTTTAATGTAGGACCCAAACTGTTGCCATTTAAACCATAGAATGATAGAAAGTAAATTAACGAATCTCAATGGCTTGCAGATCTCACGCCCTGTTGCTAGATTCACAGAAGATTTTGATTTCACAGCAATGAATGAGAAATTCAATAAAGATGAAGTGTGGGGTCATTTGGGAAAGAGTAACAAATATCAATCCAAAGATGATGAAAATGAAAGTGATGAAGAAGATGATTCACAGGTTGAGGATGATGCTGAATCACCAAAGATTGAGATCAAGGTGATTTGATTGTTAATTGTTTCATTTGTTATATATTGATATCGACTATTTCTGCGGAATCTTACTCACTCTGTATACTTATATTACCTTTTGCAGCCTGTTTATAACAAAGATGACTTTTTTGACTCCATATCCTGCAATTCACTGCAAAATGACCCGAATCATGGAAGGACTAGGTATTCTGAGCAAATGAAGCTGGATACTGAGGTATGCATGCATGCACTATTTTCGCCCAAACATAAAAAAAAAAATTTGACAGTGGCTGAAGCAATTTTTTTTTATCAATTAAAAATGCAGACATTTGGAGAGTTTTCAAGGTACCGAGGTCGTGGTGGACGTGGGCCCGGCCGTGGTGGCGGTCGGTTTCGTGGGTCGTACCATGGGAGGGGTTATGGTGGATATGGCGGCTATGTGGGAAGGGGCCGTGGTAGAGGTATGCATGGCCGTCCTTCCTAGAGCAAAAAATATGCAAAAGAAAATAAAAATTGGAAACATTAGTTCTTGGATTTAATAGTCTTTTTAGTAATGTGTAATGGCAATCCTGACCCTCGGGCTAGGAGTTGAGATAGTATTGAACAATGAGTAAATTTCCCTAATCTTGAATTGCCCCATGGAACAAGCGTCGACGTGGTAACTTCCTTGTAATGTATGTGGGTTTGTTTGTTTTGGTGGTTTAGTTGATGAAGTTTGGATTATGAAGTTTATTTTGCCTCCTTGTTCGTCTACCTTTATGACGATCTGTGTGAGGTTGTTCGAATTTCGAACTCTGATGTCAAAGTAACGACTTTTACATGCATGTGTCTGTTTATATTTTACTGATTAAGAACACATAGTAATTAACCGAGGTCTAGTTTGTATACCCATCAGTTCAAAATAAACTTATTTTCTTTGAGATCCGTTCAATGCAAATAAACAGTGCTTTAGTGTAACCAATCAGTCAATTACAGTTAACAATACAATCGTTCACATGGATTGTTCATTTTTATCTAGGTTATGAATTAATTATTTATGTTCTACAAGTAATCAATCGTGGTCTTTTGGAATCGACTGGATGACCCGGCCTGGAACCGACTCGGATTTACCGGTCTTTTTTGACCTGTCGGTTCCGGGTCGGTAGGTGGGTCATAGTTGATTTTTTTTATTTATTTTTTTAATAAAAATTGAACCGTCGGGTCGGGCCAATTAATTTGAACCGACCTTTAGATATAGTCGGGTCGGTTCATTGAACCGACCCTTAGATATAGTCGGGCTAATTCCGGGCTAGGTCGTGAACTGGCCCGGCCTTTGGACACGTCAAATCTTCTGTATCATCCGTGATAGACAATAATAAACAAATGTAAAAAATCAGCACATAAGACAATTTAATTAAACATAATTTTCATTCAAAAGAAAGATAATGCTTATTACGTAAAAAGTCAAGTTTTAAATATACACACTACAATGATGACATTGGACAATATTCTCGGAGGACGAACAAGGTGCCAAACAGGACCGACGAAGAACAAGCGCTGATTCACATCCTCGATCAAGTGTTCTTCAACCACAGGATCTTCGTCATAAAAAATGAGCGGGCCCTCATAATTATTCGACCCCTACTCCTCAACAAGCAGTGCGCGCGAATTGCCCGACTTCGGGCAAACAGCCTGCCGATGTCCTACTCACCGCATGAGAACCAACGCAAATTGGACGATGGCTTAGGGCCGACTGCTACGTGGAACCCACTAGGCGACTAGAGGTCGCCGCCTGAGACGTGCTCACTGCAGCTCGAGTAGGTGGGATGAAAGAGCTAGTCGATCGCCGAGCCAACTGCTGTTCCACCAAAAGGGCCCACTGTTCAACCAAAAGGGCCCGTTGAAGTTCATCAGAAATAGATTCCAGCACAAAAAGGTTCAATGTATCCTGGAAGGGTAATCGCAAACCCTCCAATATATCGTGACACCAATTGGTCCATCGTCTCACGAACATCCACGTACGTGAGAAGCTGGTAGAATTCCTCCGTATAATCATTAACCAGACAATTCCCTTGACGAAGATTCTATAAATGTTGGTAGAGCGTGGGAACATAATTGTACGACAAAAATTCGCGTTCCACGTGCTTGGGAAATTTTGACCAAGTTGCCACATTCGGCTTGCCCTGCCGCTGGCGCACCGCCTTGAATTGTTGCCACCAGGCGGCAGCCCGACCACTTAGACGCGTCGTGATGAGACTACGAATAACAGCAACCGTTCCAAATACCCAACCATCCAACCACCCTAATATTTAATTAATTTATCTCTCTTCCACATCATCAATAATCATCCCAACCACACCATCTCAATTTTGCAAGTTTATCAGCAACCACACCAACATCCAACCAACAACATTTTTTTTCTTAATTTGATTTTATTTAATTATTATATATTTTTTTCATTTCATTTTATTTTAATTATTAATTAACTCTTTTATTTGCTTTGATTTAATATAATTATATAATTATTTTATTTGATAATTATTTTATTTGCTTTGATTTAATATTATTATATAATTATTTTATTTGATTTGATTTAAAATAAGGCGATTAAATAAAATATAACCACATCGATTACATTAAATAGACAATTTCATAAATAGACGATTAAATAAAATAAAACCACAACGATTACATTAAATAGACAATTACATAAACGGACGATTACATAAAATAAAATTACATTGGCTAGACAATTACATAAACAGACGATTACATTAAATAGATGATTACATAAACAAGAGCACAATCATACCAACTAAACCATCATGGGAATAATTCCTGCATAAGGCGGTTTTTGACAGCTTCTTCTTGAGGAGACAAGTTGCTTTCCAATCTTGTTAATTGCTTCAATTTCTTTCTCACGTGTGATCCTCATTGCATTAAGTGCTTCAGTGTAGTCATCAGGAACAACTGGGGGTTGTGATGCAGTGGCTTTTCCTTTCCTTTTTCCTTTCGCCTTGTCTCTGCCAGTAGGACGACGAATTGTTGAAGTTTCACTAACTTGGATTTCATCGTTAGGGTCCTCATCTCCTCCGGTAGTTCTTGATCTTTTGGAGCTTTCACGATCTTCTTCAACATCATCATCGCCAGCATATTCTCGATCAATGCGAGTACGATGACGCTCAACACCCAATTTCAATTCCCACTTTGGATAATGACGCATAATCTTTTCAAAAACTTCATGATGCGTAAACTTCGTACCTTTTTCGCCGCTGTAAAATTTTTGAGCTATCGTTTCAACATCTACATCTGACATACTGCTACTTTTTTTAGCATATGCTTCTTTCTAGGCGCCCAACCACTTGGTTACATTTGTGTTCAACCTCCTATAACGATTCCTTAGCGATTCAATGGTTCTTTGTTGTCCCATAAACTTTGAGTTGTCCGCACGAGCTTCCTCATACATTTCCGAGATACTTTTCCAAAATGTCTGACTATTTTGGTTCGTGCCGATAGCAGCATTCTGACTTACGGTAATCCAAGCATACATGAGTGCCAGATTTTCTTGATTTGTCCAAACTTTGGGAGTATGTGAAGTATTTGTGTTTGGGGACTGGATATTTTCGTGAGTGAGATCAATTGGAAACTGAGGGTTTGAATGTGTTTGAAAATCTTGACTATCAAGATTTCAAGGCTAGGATAATAATCTTCGGTGTTTGAGAAAAAATTGCTTGGATCCATTGATAAATTGAGAATAATAGAGTTTTGGTAATGAAAGGAAGATGAAATGGAGATGATTTTCTGGTGTGTGTGAAATATGCTAAATGAGGTCTCTATTTATCAACATTGATTGTGTTTTTTTTACATGGATTGTACTTTTTGACGAATGGATGAGATTAATTGCTTTTTGATGGATGGACGAGATTAATTGCTTTTTGATGGATGGACGAGATTAATTACTTTATTGATGAATGGTGGAGATCAAACTGACATGAATTGTACCTTTTGACATGGATTATGCTTTTTGATGGATGGATAGGATTAATTGCTTTTCGACGGATGGATAGGATTAATTACTTTTTGATGGATGGATAGGATTAATTACTTTATTGATGAATGGTGGAGATCAAACTGACATGAATTGTACCTTTTGACATGGATTATGCTTTTTTATGGATGGATAGGATTAATTGCTTTTCGACGGATGGATAGGATTAATTACTTTTTGATGGATGGATAGGATTAATTACTTTAGTGATGAATGGTGGAGATCAAAGTGACATGGATTGTGCTTTTTCACATGGATTGTCAATTGTATATCTGAAATTTATAACCCTGGAAAATTATCAGTTACGACAATAAGAACTTACAATATTACGACACTCATATTGAAATATTACGACACTAAGACATTACAACATTGAAAAATTACGACACTGAGAAGTTACAACATTACAATATTACGACACTAATATTAAAATATTACGACACTAGTAAGACATTACAACATTGAAAAATCACGACACTGAGAAGTTACAATATAAGAATATTACGATACTGAGATATAACAAACAAATCTCAATTTTCACGCCCAAACTTTTGCCAAATGTGCTCGGTAAGGTCTTTCTGCAGAGCAATGTGAGCTTCTTTGCTACGAAGTTGGGACCTATTTGTCATGTAGCTAGATAAACTTGCAATTCGTTCTGTAGAGAATTCAAAATTTAAATTCTCATCATCTTCATTTTGAGGATTTGATCTTCTAGCCTCCATAAACTCTGTAGGATCACAATAGTTTAAGTAAGTGTGTCTCTCATCTTCCACTATCATATTGTGCATGATGATGCAAGCAAGCATTATTTTTCCCATCATGTCACGATCCCACAGAAGACATGGTTGTCTGATGAAATGGAAGCGAGCCTGCAGAACCCCAAATGCTCGCTCGACATCTTTTCGAGCTGCTTCTGATGTTGAGCAAATAGCCGGTGCTTCTTAATTTGTGGATGAATGATTGATTTCACAAATGTTGCCCATTGAGGATATATCCCATCAGTGAGATAATATCCCATATTCTTCTCGTGGCCATTGACAATATAACTAACATTTGGTGCTCGACCTTCCAAGACATCCTTGAAAACAGGAGACTGTTCAAGCACGTTGATATCATTTCTGGACCCCAGAGGTCCAAAAAATGCATGCCAGATCCATAAATCCTGTGATGCAACGGCTTCCAAAATGATTGTTGCCTTATCGTTTCTTCCTGTATATTGTCCTGCCCATGCAGCAGGACAATTTTTCCACTCTCAGTGCATGCAATCAATACTTCCTAACATACCTGAGAAACCTCTTTGTTCATCAATATGCAACAAATATGCTAAGTCTCCTTCATTCGGCTTTCTGAGGTACTCGTCACCAAAGTTTGAAATCACACCCTGCACAAATTTTTTAACAGATTTTCTAATAGTTTGTGCACTCATTCGAAGGTATTCATCATGCAAATCAGCTCCT